GAACGTCGGCTATTGTGCATATTCAAATCTATTGAATTATAAATCCTAACGCACATGAATCTATAGTTAGAATCAGGACTTGCGGTTTAAATTTTTTGCCGACTCTGAGACGTTTCTGATTACTGTTATGAGAAATCGTCTGATCCACAGAGTCCGTTGGGCAGTCGGACTTGGCCTCATCAATGTGTTCCGGTTTCTTCTCGGGCTCGTCGGATTGTCTCGGACCTTCAGTAGGTGAATCGAACTGCTCCAAACTCGTTGTTGGGTCAAGCCGGGGCTTTTGGACCGAGCTGGACTGGTTCGGGCTGGATCGGGTTTGGGCCGAACTGGGCTCGCTGGGCTTGGTTGGGTTGCGCCTAGGACAGACAGGGCTTGATGGCACTGGGCCGCGAGCGCTGGGCCTGATCTGGTCGCTGTTGGGCCGCGGGCTGCTCGCATGGGCCTGGGTCGCACGAAGGCAGCTGGGCTCGGATGCACGCGCGCGGGGCGATGCAGACGCGCGCGAGGAAGTCGCGGGCACTGGTGGACGCGCGTAGAACTCATGCGCGCGCGACGGGCAAAGCGAGACGAATGCGGGGCAGGTTGGCGAATGCGCGCAGAGAACTCGGGTCGCTGGCGAGTAGAGCGCGACAAACGTGGGCGCGCTAGCGGTCGCTCGAGGAACCCGGGTCATTGTGCAGTCGAGTGCGGCCATGCGCGGCCTGTACGTCTTTCTGCGAGGTCGTGCGCGGGCGATGTCGCGGCGGTGCGTAGAGGCTCGTGGGTCACCGGCACCGGCGCGTCCGACCTCGGAGATGCTGCGGGTATGAATATATCCGACGGGATGAACGTATGTATATATTTGATGGGATCCAAATTAATAACCTTCGAATCTTCTATTGTATGACCTTACACGATCTCCAATAAATCTTTGTGGAGCGATTTATTGAATTTCCCAAAAGCTTCTTGATCTTCTTTTTCTAAGACCTCTCGGTTTTATTTGAATTTGTTCTTGAAGAAGGAATCATATTTTTCTCACAATTTTGGCTGTGTGATCAGCCTCTCTCATGAAGAAAGAACGTGTGGCATCATTATCTCATGAGGCTAGGGGACTTTGTGTATTTATAAGTTACAATAGAGACCCCAAGGAGGTGCTAAATATGGGTTTATCTCATTAGGTTTAGGAATCCTAAATATTTTCCCTCCTTTTCAATCTAGGATAATATTCCTTATAATCCTTAATTACTTTTTAGAAGACTTCATAGTCTCATAATCCTAGGTAATATCGTAGTTTTATTTTGCAATTAACTAGTTTTATTTGTGTATAAACGGAACGTCTCTATCAATTATTCTGTTAGTTAGTCTTAAGACAAGTTGAGCTGATTAAAAAACAAAAAAACAAATAATAAAGAGCTTAATATAAGTGGGCCTTTATTCTTGTAGATAAAACAAACCATCCCTTACAACGAGAGGAGATCAGCATACCAAATCTATTACTATAAAATACAGTTAAGAAAAAATGTTTGAAAAACTCAAAAATAATTGTTTCATTTTCCCGCTTTTTTATGTCATTTTCCCGCTTCTATTTTTCAATTTTTACCCTTTCTAGTTTTTTTTTTTTTTTTTT